TAGAGAACTCTACGAAGTGGCACCTTTAAAGTAACTATCAAGACAATGCCAAGAATGTTTGCAAGTGTACATCTCCAAATAGAGAGAGTCTTGTTCCTTTTGAGAGGAGAGTGGTACCTTGGAACTAGAGACCGAGTTCTGTCCACAAGTATTGCAACAATCCGGTTTGTATTTGTGGAAATACACACCTATACTGTACTACTAGGTGGACTGTACGAGTTGTAGGTGGGTAGTGTACTACCAATTTGTGACACCGACCTTGTCGAGTGTAGTTTAGACCTACAATGCATTACACCACAATGTTACACATTGTTAGGGAGCGTATTTGCTACAACAGCACTAATGGATACGTTTACAGTTTTGCGTGTCCTGAAGTCTATTACCATTACGCCGGTAGTTGTCGAGATACACGTATAAACCCAAAAGGAGTTTTAGACCACGTACCGTTGCGTAGGTGTGTTTGTCACAGCCGCATTAGTTACCTGTGCCAGAGGTAGAAGTGACATATAGGTGTCCAGGTACGATTGGTCGGATGACGTTTAGCTCTAGATGTAATCAGCAAAGGTACTTTGCGGGGCGGTATTTTGTATAAGTTAGTTCAAATAAGCATATATCGGGTTTAGTGTTTAAGGATAAAGAGAGTCGCGAATGTCAGTTGTTTGTGTAACCGTACATTTTGATACATTTTGTTTTTGTATTGAAATTCTAGTTCACTTTATGTTAATTTTTCTTTGTTTGTGTTACTGTGTTTATGTCATCCATGTTATTTATGTAAGATTGCTCCCAAGGTACCCTACATATTTTCCCCCCAAATTTTGTCAATGCATGCGACATGAATTTTCTTTCAGAATTGAAGAGAATTAACACACACTGGTGACAACCGGAGGGATTGCCGGGCAGGTGTTTACTTTCGGCTCAATAATGGGGCCTTTTGGTAGATTAACTAAAGGTGTGCGGCTACTGCTGTGAGGAAAGATCAGCCTGAATTTACAATGGTTCTTAATGGAGACATGTTGAAAGTTTTTGTCACTTCATGCCACTTCATTTAATTAATTTTGCTTAATTTTGTTTTTATTTTATTTAAGTTATTTTCAAGCTACGAGATGTTTTCCTATGTTTCTCATGAACAATTATGTCTCAGGAGTGTAGGGTTTGGGAATTATGGCAGGTTTAAAAAATAAATATGAAGGCAAATTTCGAGCTTTCCTCCACTCTACTTGTGACCTCACGCACTCTAGCCTTAACGAGCTGCGCAATACACACTAATGTTAAAATCTGAAGAAGGCCTCTTTACCAAGGTCTGAACAATGTTTAATATTTCTAAAAGTATGAATCTGATTTAAAAGTTGTGTAACACGAATAATGTCAGAAAGATGTGTAACATTTTAAAGTTGGAATGAGGTTTCTGAGTGAAAGTATGAAAGTTAGCAGTTGAAGTTGCAAGAAGATTTTTCAAGTCTGAAGAGTTTCTCCATTGACCTCCATGTTAAAAATGTGATGAATTATGGGATATATCTCGGGAATTATGAAAGTTATGAATGAGAAAAAGTAATAGCCATCGATTCCCGATCGAGCTGAACATTTTGATGTTTGAACGGAGTTTCTGCGATGTGGAATGTGGGAGCAGAAGAGGGACAAAATAACCCAGCGGAATAAGAATAAAGAATTTGCCCTTGAAAATATATCTTGCTAACTTATTTTATTTTGAAAGACTTGCATCAACACAGTTTAGCCTTGTGTTTGAAAACCTTTTCCCATATTATGCAGCTTAATGTATAAATGTTCTGGCAGTTTTTGTTGTCACACTTATATGAGAAAAAGCTATTTTAAATAACTACAGAAAATATTCTGTCATAGCTTAAATTGGATCAAGCAGCATTAATCTCAAGTAATGACCTGCCCTTTGGGAAGTATCATTAATACGGAGAGTAAATGTTTGTAATTTCCTAGCAAATAGTCTCATGTATCGGCTTGAACAAAAGTAACCTTAGGATTGTTCTTTGGCACAAAATAAAGTAGCATTCGGCCAATAAGAACAGACACTGGTAGACATCATTGAACAATGAAACAGTACAACAACAAGAAAAACACATGACTTCTGAAGTTTCACTTTTTTAAATCCATCCTTATATGTTATGGTTGTTGGTGATGAAGATTTTCTCTATCTTTTCCTTTATGTCTGCTTTTTTTTCTCTTTAGCTGTGTATGCTATGTTTTTTTGCAGTTTGCAGAGGTTGGGGATGAGTTTATCCTTATTTATTTATAACTTAAGGAATGAAGGCCTTGCTTTATCTGTTCACAAAAGGTGATTGACTCATCGATAAACATTAGAATGCTCAATATTGTTAAGGGGTCAGTGTTAAAAAAGTAACATAAAGTAAATGAGTAGACTCAGAAATGTGGTTTTTCTCTAAATGAGTCCTAAAAAATCTACCCACATTTTTACTCCCTAGCTTTCCCAGTCCCTAGAAAGTACACACTCTCAATGACACACGCGCAGTATTTATCAGCCTTGCAGCTGGATTCCCCTTTTTCAAAACGTTTATGTTTGTGCAGACATGCTATTGATTTAACTGTCATTTCATCTCCATTCACAGCTGGATTCCAATAAACATTTAGATAACTTTCCTGTTTGCTGCTGCCGTCTGAGTTCAATGTTTTTCTGCCTTTTGCTCAACATTGCAAAGTCTTGTTTGTCTAAAAGTCTGGTTGGTTGCTCTGTTGCTTTGAAAGTAATCTCCCTTAAAGATTTGTCTTAATGGCCTTTTTAGAGACAGATCTTTCAACAGCTGAAACCATACCTTTTGAGAGCACTGTGCAGAGATTCAAACCCTTTTAGCTGCCACAAAGTTTTTTCTGTAATATCGACCCATTCATGATGTTTACCTGATTTGGTTCCTGGCAGGAAACAGCAGAGTAGAGTGTTTATGATTTGATGGAAATACATTAAGAGCACTGGTGTGAGTGATGCAAACCCAATTTCATCAATTTACACTATTTAAAAACACAACATGTATTTTAAAGAAGCATTGATGCAGCTGTGTGCCAGAAAAAAGGCATCAAAGTACAAAAGCTGTAATGATGTTTGCTCTACTTAAGGTTTGATCTGACACATTGTCATTATACCATACATGAGTGTTACTACCACTATTAGTGTTATGTGAATGTTTAGTAAGTTGAGTTTTGCAGACAAATCCCGGTCACCGCAAGGAGGTCGCGCGTCTGTTTAGTTTCTACCTGAATAACTCTGTTCCTACACTGTGGACCATAAAAGGCGGATGGGTTCTCTACTTGACTAAGATACTTACCACCAGCACGTGGTCGAACATATGCATCATTTTATGACTAGATGCCGGTATCAACGTTAAGTGTGGGTGTGCGCGTGATCGTCATATGATATATAATCGCGTTTTGACATTAGTCAAGACACAACTAATCAGATCGACTCCGTATAAACGGACTCGGGTCGGGTGTCCACATTAACTTTATGGAGTATGAACCATCTGTACGATGGACCGGCTTAATAAGGAGAGTTTTGACTAATTTACAGCTCTCCGGGCTCTCGCACACATACACACACAACTACAACACACACACACCACACACACACAACACAACACACACACACGACACCACACACACACACGCCACACCACACACACGCCACACACACACACACACATTTACGCACGTCCCTTCTCTGTGTGTCCTCCCGATAACTGTTTACGAAGAGTTAACCGATCACACAAGGTTAATCTATTTCCTCTCTCTTAGTAAACGCTCATCTAGTAATCGAAAATTCCTATAAAATAAGTCGCAACAACCCTGTTTTTGTCTACAGCTAAGATGCTCAGAAGTCGTCTTCTGTGTCCTCTTCGACGGATACTACACGAGTACACTCTGCCTCCCAGTCTCCAAAAAGAGGGAAAACTCTTTTTTCTGCATTACCAATAATAAGAAACATGTAGTGTGCTATCATATGACTGTAGTTCCTATTCAATATACATCTGTACTCAAACAACGCTATGTGACGAAACGGATTGTACCGACACGGACCAACCATGTTATTCTTCTAGTCGACATCTATTTTGATGAACGGCACCAGTTACCTTATAACTTCCACACGTTATGTTGAAATTGTTGATAATTACTAATTTGTACAAATTACTCTACAGAGGAATGGAGATTCTAGTCCGGCTCGTATTGTAGGAAATACGGAACAATCAACCTTTTTGCACATGAAACGAAAATCTAATCACAAAATTTACGGGAAAAATGTAACAAAAGAATTCCGACGAAATTCACAGGAAGTAACGATTCGTGAAACTTAACGGACACAACTTGTCCCGCCGGCGAATATATTTATTAGAACGGAACGACGGGACATGAAAAAAAGGTCGATTTTTTACATAAATATATTATTCAAGTAATTAAAATACTATAATTGTAAACGCGATCTAGATGGAAAAAGATCTTTGACCTACGCTATTTTGTCAAGGGGCGTTCCAAAGTGTCGAGTTCGAACTGTGTTTGTACAAAATTGTCGATGTGTCGACCTTTTCCATCAGCATTGGAAGGTTATGTGATTAACGTTGGTACATGAATGTGGACGTCCTCCGTCACGTCCGATTTCTTAAAACCATCCTTGCGGACCATAAGTACTCACGAAAGAAAATGGGAGGGGAGATCGAATAAGGAAAGGCCAGAAACAATAAACAGGGAGTAAATTTAAGATGGGTCGTCGTCTGTTTGTCACCTCCCATTTCTTTCTAGGTTACGTAAATTGTAGTTG